ATCATTTTGATCTACACACTCCATCAAGACAACCACACCACCGTTTTCAATTTATTAACTCTAAATACACATCACCATTTTTTCTTAACTTCACATATTGCATCAAAGATACTAACCTTCACGGTATTCTTCGCAATTATGATCCCATAACCCAAATGTATATTTTTTGTCCCATCACGAAGACCTTCAACGCAGAAGAATCCAGACCCTTCCTTATCCCACATGAATTTATCCAACCTATAGAAATCCCGATATTAGAATTCATTCACAACACTAAATACAATCACAAATTATATAATCTCATCCAAAACACACCTTATGAGTTTGCAGTTGGCACTGAAGAACTAAAAACTATTAAAGCACTTCAATTGCTTTGGCCACTGCTTCAAACTAAAAACATCATTCGCATACTAGCAAAATTACTAACAAATTCCGACATAATACACGACATCTTCCCCCACGGTTTTTTCCCCGACGACTAACAGGTAAGTATAAATTATCATATTCTTCACTAATAAATTTGAAATAAATACTAACCATTCTTATACATGTCTTATTTAGATTTTTAGTCTTCATCCCACGATCACCTACAAATTACACAAAAGAAAAATAAAAAATAGAAAACTTCTTCAAATTCTTCAAAACTCTATTAATATTTTGCACTAGATAAATTCAATAAAAATCATACCAATGTAGTAAATTAATTTATAAATTATTTCCCTAAAAGCAGTAATTCTAATAATGATGAAAATTTGTAATTTAATTTTTGCCCAAAAAACTAGCAGTAAAATTGAAATTCTATGTAGTAAATTGATAAAGTAAAAATGCAGTACTAACCTTTTGATATTTTCATTCACTCGCACAAGAATTCTATCCAAACTCGCACAGCTCGCCCACAAAGAATTGTTTAAATAATGAATTTTAGTTTCAAGTTTTCACACTCAACAACTCTAACATACAATAACAAGTTTCAAACTTTCCTTTAACCCGGTTGGAAAGGAATTATATACTAAACCAAACTAACCAATGCAGCTTACTAAACACCATAAATCATAGAATAACAGCATGACTAAGGAAAGGAAACCAACGGTACCCAAACCGGATTAACCCAGTTTAAAACTGGATAATTTATTCTTTTGAAGACTATTATAAAGTCTAAGAAAGAAATAATAAAACACAAAAAAAAGTCGAAAGACAAACCCATACCAAAAACAATTTGATTTTTGAAAAAAGGACACAACCAACGAAACATAAGAAAAACCACAATAAACCCAACATAAAACGTTATCACATAACAGGACCTCTCACAGAAACCGCACGAAATCATACTCCCACTCCTGGCCTAACCCACCAGAGAGGACGTCCTGAGCATGCTCTATAGCCGGCCTAACCCACCGCGCTACATCCACGCTTTGTGACCACACTTCTATTTTTAATAAGAGGTACTCAAGGGTGAGTAACTCTTCAAAATAACCGAACTAAAACAAAAAGCTTTTGTGAAAACAACTAACCAAAATCATAATTAAAACACCGAACTAATAAAAATTTTATAAAATGTAAATTATACCTTGCAGTATATAGATCAGCATACAACACCAAAGACGAACATCCAAAGACAAAAGGACCCCACTACACTCGAAAAAGAATGGCCAACCACAATCAATATGCCGTCCACAATCACAAATCAAAGGATTTAGAGTACGACTTGACTTCGCAGAAAAGGACTTCATTGAACTAGACCAATGACCACCTCGATGTTCAAGTATACGTACAGATCCGAGTAACCAGGCATCCCCTCCACGCACAATCTCCACGCCATTCCCAGACTAGGTTGAACACAAAAGAAGTTCTCTACATGAAACAGAAAAACCTGTCATAGCAAACCATTCTGAAATCAGATTTGAGTTTGTTGAGAAAACCCAGTCGTTGTCATAAGAAGACACAACGATTGATCCTGGAACTTCTCTAACAGGAAAACCCAGAAGAAATATGATGTTCGCCAAATACCAACGTCCATCATCCATCCTTTGAATTGCAGAAAAACTATTCTAAAAAACTCTGTAAAACCCGGATGGGTGGAACCTGATCTAAACTACATTTTATGATTGGATAAATTAGATATTTTACCACTGTAAAGTATTCAATATTAACCAATCATGATCCATCTAACTAACAACCCACTTATTTGTAAGTGCTGAAATTACTTGTAATTTCAGCACCAGAGAGATTTGAATTTAACTTAGAAATTAGTTGCCTCTCCAAGAGAACTTCTATAAGATAAACCAGTATACCCTAGATCTATTGAGCCTAGCAGAGACTAGTTAAACAACCTGAGACTAGAATAGTATAAGAGTAAGATTAGGATCGGTATTAGACTAAGAAGTTGCACGAATCTATCCGGCCGAAAATAAGATAGCGTGACGAGCAGACGGTGTACCCTATCCGAAATTACTCTATGAGTTAAGACCATCGGTTATAACTCAACATAACAAACTAAAACCAGGCAAATAAAACGTTTGTGATCGAGGAACTTTTATACTAAATACTAATTGTTTAGTACAATGGTTTTTTAGTACTGACTTTCGTAATAAAGGAATATAAAAAATTTGTTCAATATAATGCAACAAAAAAATCAAGTTCGAAAAATTTCCCGAGAAGGCACCTTTTGTTGTTTTCTTCCAAAAAGATTGTACAAAAAATCAAAAAACCACAAAAACAATTTCAGCAAAATTATTTGGAGCGCAATTACTTGCAAAAAACCAAATTGAATAGATAGGACTTAGGATTTTTATTTATGATAGAAAAAAATATCATTTCAAATGTGCTGTTTTGGCAATAAATCCAAACAAAAACAAGCAGACAAAAAAATCCAACAAAATTTTTGTCACGCGAAAATTTTCCATTTACAGGTCCAAGAACTTTTGTTTTTACAGGCATTCGCATTACCTCTACACCACAAGTGCGGCCCAGAGATTAGACTTTGACATAAATGAACTGAGGTGTCAAATAATTTTGTTGAAATAACTGTTAAGCTGAAAGAAGTCTAAGATCCGATTTAATTTTTACGCTTTCGAGCACAGAAATGGCAAGAATGTGATCAATGCCTGGCCAATATCAAAAAATTTCTGAATTCGCCTTCCGCACCAATACAAGTAAACTTGAGGTGGAACGCAATTGTTCGGTCAATGTTTCTTAAAATCGCTCAAAACGTCGTGTTAGTCTGTTTTTTCAAAAAAAATTGCCTGCGGCGCTGATTTTTTTTTGAAAAATTTGGTGCTCAGTATTTTGAGAAGGCTCTGGAATTAAAAATGGGCCACTTAGAAAAAGTTAAAGGTAATTTTTCAAATACGTTTTGAAAAACTAGCCCACTAAAAAAAATTTGCGCACGCCAATGCTTATGGCAGAAAATTGCTTTGGCTTATGAAGGGAACAAATTACTCAAGAAAAGAGTTTTAAGTGCTTCCCCACTTCCTTCCTAAAATTATCCCTCAGTTAAAATATTACTCATACTATTAAATTGTTTCCAGTATAGGTTCACATTGATCGTCTTAAACTATATAAATGATCACTTAAAAGAACCCAGTGTGGGAGATCGTCATCAGACAAATTATGCCTCTTTTCAGACGTCTCTGCTCGAAAGTCGTGAATCCCTCATTTCAGACGTCTCTCTTCGAAACTTTTTCCAGTTTAGGTTCATATTGATCGTTTTAAACTATATATATGATCAATTCTTTCTAACAAAACAAACATAAAAAACTTTGGAAAAAAACTCGTTCTGAATGACAAGTTACTTTGCTTTAAATGCTCATCCTACCAACTGCTCACTCAAACCTGCAAATTTTTACAAGTAAAGATTTTGTTCATATTGTCCGATTCTTATAAAAGTTGGCATGCAGACAAATTAGGTCACTAAAAACTTATTTGCTCATGGGGCTTAACATTGTAAAGGCATAAAGTTTATAATAAACAATTTCTGTAATGTGGCCTGATTCGTAAACGAATTTATTATAAAGTTGACGCTCATGAAAAACTGGCCAAACTTCATCCACTATTGAATCTCAGTTAGGCTAAAAAGCCAAAACTTCCAACCCATTTTTCACCCATCTTTCAAAATCTTGTAGTGAGCGTAACGTATAATAATCACTGAATCAGCTGGGTACCGGTCAAAACCTATGAGAGTTAACCAGAAACCTCCGCGTCCTGAAAGTATATGTGCCAGGAGGCAACAACTAAGAAAAAACAGAGTACCCGGTTGTTGGCCAAGTATCCGGCTGTACACATCAAATGCAGCGACAGCAACTACTGAGGCATTAATTTGAAAAAATAACCAAAACAGAAACATTTTTATTTTTTATGACTTCTTTCATTTATTCCCTGAACGTTCTACAGTTTTGATTGGTTTTCAGAAAGTACTGAAAGTAAACTTGATGATACAGATAAAGAATAACTAACAAAATCTAAAAAAACTATTACAATATGAAGCTATTCATCGCAGTCACTAATCGAGGTTAACTGATAATTGACACTGAACAGCAAAGAAGTTTTCTCAACATTGACTAGAAGAATTTTTTATCGACACTCAGATAACTTACTTTTTGATACATCTTTTGGGAAACCGAATCACTTTTTTTTGAAAATGCTACAATATGTTGCAACACTGACGCTACGCGCATTCTACAGGTACCCAAAATCGCGTGGAAAAAAAAAACATTTTGGGTTTTTTCTTCATTAACACTCTTCTGGACTTGTCGTAACAACGTCAAAAGCTACCAAATTACTATATCATTGATATTATATGCAAGGCAAAAATAAATACGCTTCAATATACACCCGGACTGAAGTTGCATTAAAATTCAGAAATACACCTCTTTTGATCAAGTGTTGCGATTAATTTAAGGGACCAGTCAGAACACATAGATTAACTATGTAACTATTTGCATTACACTTACATCATTATTAAGGCAATTTCAAAACGCAGAGATAATACATTGATGACACACCTGAAGTATCCGGTGGCATTGCTGCACTGGAACAGCCTCGGTTCGTGTTCCGGGTCCAGTTGTGCCTTGGAACTACTATATGGCTGCTTGCCCCCCAGTGCCTTCCAGAAGGAGTCCGGCTCCTTGCCCTCCATCACCACCTCAATGTCTCTGGGCGACAGGATAGATGCACAATTCTTCGCCATTTCCCTCTCGTCGCCTGTGCACGCTTTACCGAACCTGAACACGTGACACAACTCAACCAAGAATCAATTAAACCTGAATAAATAAATTCGAGACAAAGCAAATAAAGTTGTTAAGCAGGACTGCTTATATCATGACAAAACCCTGAATATTCCGACTGCTCCTTAAAGTCTAAAGTTTCAGTCACTTTTTTGAGAAATTCAAAATTTGATAAATTTTGAAAATTTTTGGGATTTTTTTGAAAATGTTCTGCCCACTCAATAAGTAAAGTTCATAGCGCAGTAATTTGCGTCTAGCAACATATTAACAGTGCCAAGTAGCTTGCCTGAAATCAAGTTGGAACAATTTCTGAGGCGGATTGTGTCCCAAGTTAGCTAATTTGCAATTTTGAAACTGCCATAAATTTATTAAAAAATTATTAGAGGTGAAATATATTTTGATATTTGTGCTCAAGGCATCAATGATTTGCAAATGATTTAAAAATTTCTTTAAAACGGCTAGTTAAAAATTCTAAAGAAGAAAACTACACCGAACACAAATATTCCATCCATGTTTGAAATTCGGAACACTGAAATTGGTTGTTAGTGTTGTTACTATCATAGCACCGCTTCGAGTGGTCGGCAATAGGCCATAGTCCTGTTTCAAGATGTAAAAAATTCGAAAGAGTTAGTTTTAGTATTATTTCAATAAAACTTATGAGGGTCGGGGCTGTAACAGGAAAAAGACCAAAAAGTCATAGATCCCCGCTGAATGATTTTTGTATTGGGGTGCAATCACGCGATTCATAATTTTTCGGTGGTATAAAAACTATAGTACCAACGGGGAAAAACAAAGACCGCGCCAATACGCCTCCATCATTCTGGCCCATTTTAGGACTGTATTGCCACTAAATTTCAGACTATCGCAACCCAAACTCGATTGCAAATAACCCGATTGCACAAAATACAACCCTTCCAACTTATATAAAAACAAGCAACACAGAGCTTTGCATCACTTGCGATAAACAGAACAAATATTGGGCAAACTAGTCAACAGAAAATGAGACGATACCCGCTACATTGAGAAAATTCTTAAAAGTTGTCGATAAGAAATAAGGCTTATCAAAGTTCGAGATTGTTTGTCTCAATTTGTCTTGTACAAAGTTCCTTGTAACAAAAAATTGCCAAATAAGTCTATTTCACAGATGAACACAGAGGCGAAGCTTCGCTTTGCAACCACTAGCGAGAACACGATAAAAAGCAGCTCTATGAAGTGCAATTAGAAAAACAAGAAATCAGCCTCGAATTGGTAAAATTTTGTCTGAATCTCGAGATCGAACCTATTTAGGGCCGAAGAATGGTTTTAAGCGAAACAACAAAAAATACGAAGTCAAGGCAAGTAAAATTACAAATAGTGGAAGTAAATCAAAAATTAAAAGCAACATTAACGAAAAATGCGCGCAGAAATAAAACGTTTCAAGATAAGAAAACTATGCCGACAACAGATAAGCAGACAAATATTTGTCTGTTAATTACATTTGTAACAGAATATTTTTCGTTTGAATAAAAAAACAGGTCCTGATGAGATTCGAGCCCAGAACTTTTGCCGTGCCAGGTTAGAACTCGTTACCTCCAGGCTATATTGTCCGGGACTGCAAATTGTCCGGGACTGCAATTTATTATGAACCAAGATCCAAGTGAATCAAGACAATTTGTTAAACAAGTTGTTAAACCGAAAGAAAAGTCTTTTTCAAGTTTGATAACGCTTGCCAATCGCAAGCGTAAACACTATTGACCAAAAAACTAGATAGAATGCTAAACAACTAAAATTAGCCAGATATAATATTGCTGCTAGTAAACCAGACATAACAGTACCATTGAATAAATCAACACTTTTATTTGCGACTTGAGCGGGAAAAATCATTAGATCTAATAATCTGACACTGCGCTGCGTTTGTGTATTCAAAATGAAACTAACAAACAAGGCGGATACAAAGTCGAATTTACTTGAGCAGACATCTATTGAGCTTAAAAAACAAGTCAAAATAGCTCCATTAATGGGTCAAGTCCGCTCCTCTAAACATCCACATGCGCAAATGAGACTTTTTCTGCTTACAAATCGACACAATATGAGCCCAATAAGCCCATGAAACATTATTCGAAACCTTTCACGCAGATTAGAACGAAAAACAAAAAAAATTGAAGTTAAACCAAACAGGAAAACAGGTAATTAAAGAGCAGAAGGGAACACAACTTTACTCTCGTCGCCTGTGCAGGCTTTGTCGAACCTGAACAATTGACAAAACTCAATCTAGAATCAACTAAACCTGAAAAAAAAACTCGTTTGAGACCAAGCAAACACGAATGAGAACCGAAACTGTTTGTGTTGAAGCAAAACACTTAACTTCCGACTGCCCCTTAAACTTATTTTTTTGAGAAATTCAAAATTTGATCAAGTTTAAAATGTTTTAAATTTTTTGGCTGTTTTTGAAAGTGATCCGCCCACTCATAAATTAAAAGTTATGGATAAAGAATTTGCGTCTAGCAACGTATTAACAATTCCAAGACGATCATCTGAAATCAAGTTGAAACAATTTCTGAGGCGGATTACATAGAAAGTTCTATTAGAACAAAATATACCATGCGTTGTGTCCCAAATTAGCCAAATTGGCAATTTTAAAACCTCCAAAAATTTTACAAAAACTTATTAGAGGTGAAATATGTTTTGATATTTATGCTCAAGGCATCAATGATTTATTAATTCTTTGAAAAATTTGTTTAAAAACCGCTATTCAGAAAGTCGAAACTTGTCTAAAGAAGAAAATCAGACCGTGCACAAATATCCCCTCCATGTTTAAACGTCGGAACACAAAAAGTGGTTTTTTACTATTATATAACCGCTTCAAGTGGTCGACAAGAGGCCAAAATTCTGTTTTAAGATGTCATCAAGTTGGAAGAGGTTTTTAATTATTTTATTGAAGTTATGAGGGTCGGGGCTGTAACATAAGAAAGAACAAAAAGTCATAGGTCTGAGCTCATTGATTTTTCTTGGGGATGTATACGTGAGATTTGTAGGTTCTGGGTGGTATAATAACTATTATACCAAGAGTGAAGAATATAGACCGCAAAAAAATTGTGCAAACTAGTCGACGAAAAGTGAGACACAACCCGTTACATAGAGAAAATCCTTAAAAAATATCGCTTAGAAACAAGATTTATCAAAGTTCGAGATTGTTTGTCTCATTTTGTCTTGTACAAAGTTCCTTGTAACAAAAAACTACCAGATAAGTCAATTTGAATTTTAAACCGAGAGGCGAAGCGAGATCACGATAGAAAGCAGCTCTACAAAGTGCAATCAGAAAAATAAGAAATCAGCCTGAAATTATAAAAAATTTGTCTCACTCTCGGGATCGAATCTGTAACCTATAGATTTTCTACCGCACACACTAACCACTCAGCACTGGTGATAGCAACAAACAACCAAACACGAGCGACAAAACGGCAAAGCTAGCGCTGACTAAAGGGTTGATATACCAAGCGCTGATATTCCCTACTTAGTGATTCACAATCGCACGTATTAGAATCTTCACAATCAAATCCTAACAATCGTTAACACAGAGGCGAAGCGGAATTTCGCACCACTTGCGATACAACACAGACATAAAAAAAACACATAGAAAAAATTTAAAAATTGGAAAAAAAATAGAAAAGAGCAAAAATTTTCACACGTCTCGATAAAAACAACTAGGAGCCCAGCTAAAGCGGGAGGTATGTGTTTGATACTGAATGAGTTTGCTATACTGATGCAACGCAAAAAATAGGATTTCAAAAATTAAACTCTACCCTAAACCTTAGTTGTTTCGCTACTAAAATAACTGTTAAGAGTAAAAAAATTTGAGATAATCAAAGTTCTCAACGAGTTAAAATTTGTTTTACAAAAACTAAAGAGTCGACGCTTATACAGGAACCATTTTCCTAACCGGTTCTTTCATTGAACTTTTCATATGAGATTTGATTGTGTAATTTAAAAAAATCAAAAAATTCCCACAAAACGGTCAAACGGAATTCCAAAATCCATAATTTTTTTTCTGGAAAAAGCAGGTAGTGGCCACTTAAGCAGATAACATTTCAGAAACCGTTTTCTCGGTTGAAAAGAACCGGAGAATTTGCACAGTAGATTTCGCGTAAAGTCAAAACATGTCCAAAAAACTTTCAAGCGTTCAAAACTTCGACTTGTTTGAAGGCCATAACTTTTTTCGTACACAAAATGGGCATAGCCAGTTATAAACCTGTTGTTTTGATTAAACCTATGATATCAGATTTGACAGGATAGGTAACAAGAAAACTCCAAAAAGTAGTCATTGAATGAAAAATTTGACATTTCCGAGAATCATAGCTTTCCTGTGAAAATAGGGCGTAACCACTTATCCAGAAGGAATTCACTTAGACTGTTATTTCAATTGAACCCAAAATTGGAGATTTGGGAGGTTGGTTTTCGAGAAAAATGAAAAATTATAAAATAACGGTCAAAATATTATAATTTTGACTTTTTGAGGGCCATAACTTTTGTTGTCAATGAAATTTGAGAGTAGTCGCATCAGAAGCTCATTTTCTGATGCGACTACTCTCAAATTTTTCTGACAACAAAAATTATGGCCCTCAAAAAGTAAAAATTATAATATTTTGACCGTTATTTTATAATTTTTCATTTTTTCTCGAAAACCAACCTGTCTCACAACCAGTTTTTTGAATTGAACCTAGAATATATGGCAGGGTAGTTTTTTGGAGAATAATCAAAAAATTTAAAAAACAGTCAAACAATAAAAATTTTGAAAGTTGCGAGGGCAAAAGTTTTGTGTATAAAACAATGTCGGTGGCCGCTAATACAGGGGAGCTTTTCACTACCCATTATCTTCATTGAACCCATGATATTAGATTTGAGAGATTAGTTTTCGAGAAAAGTCAAAAGATCCACAAAACGGTAGAAAATCAAAAACTTTACTATTCCGGGGGTCAATATTTTGTCAAGTGTTAAAAATTTTTGGCGTTGCCGCTCATGCAGGGAACTTTTCAAAACCGTTTTATTCATTAAAACCAAAAACTCAGATTGTAGAGAGGTAGTTTTCCAGAAAACGAGAAAAAAATGGGTCAAATATTCCCTCACAGACTTTTTCGAAGGCTTTAGACAGAGGGGTCTAGTGAAAAGAGACTCTAGGGGACTATACAGGCACACAGGGGAGTTGATTGTCTTTCAATTGATAACCATTTTTAAAACTCACTAGAACTTTCTGAGAGAAACTAAATTTTTTTTCAGTTAACCTTCCATAATAGAAAAAAATTCAACAAACCGATGGGTAAACTCTCAACCAGCTCGAAAAGTGCAAAAAAGAGCGGTAAAACTGCGTGTTTTCCTTGAAACGACCCAAAATCAGGCAATAAAAAATTGTTCAAAAAAATTTGGACCGAGGAATGTTTTTTAGCGAAACAAAAAAACAAAGAAAAAAATTGTAGAAGAAAACCAAAAATTAGAAGCTAGGTTTAAAAAAATGCGCGCAGAAACACAACTCTTCAAGATAAGACAACCAAGCCGACAACAGATAAGCAGAAAAATAGTTGGCCTTTAACTTTTATTTGTAACAGAAAATTTTTCGTTTGAAAAAAAAAAACAGGTCCTGATCAGATTCGAACCCAGAACCTTCGCCATCCCAGGCTAGAACTCGTTACCTCCCGGCTAAATTGGCCGGGAACGCAGAGAAGTTTGAATTTAATACGAACCAAGATACAAGTGAATCTAGTCGATTTGTTAAACAAGTTGTTAACCCGAAAGAAAAGTCTTTTTCAAGTTTGATAACGCTAGCCCATCGCAAGCGTAAACATTATTGAACAATAAACCAGGTTCAAAGACAAAAAGCTACACAACTAAGTTAGCCAGATATAACTTTTCTGCTCGTAAACCAGACTTAACAGTACAATTGAATCAATCAACAATTTCATTTGCGACTTGAGCCGGAAACATCATTGGATCTAATAATATGACACTATGCTGCGTTGGTGTACTCAAAATTAAACTAACCAACAAGGCGGATACACAGTCGATCTTACTTGAGCAGACATCCATTGAGCTACAAAAAAGTCAAAATAGCTCGATAATTGGTTCAAGTCCGCTCCTCAAAACATACACATACGCATAAGAAACCTTTTCTGCTCAAAAATAACGCAATATGAGCCCAATAAACCCGTGAATCATTATTCGAAACCTTTCAACCCGAATGAAGCAAAAATACTCAAGTTCAACCAAACCTGAGAACAAGTATTTAAAAATAAAAGAGAACATAATTTGCATCGAAATTCACAAGAAGTAATATGATGCAACTTTTTTGCGAAATTTGGAACCAAAAAAGTACCCGAAATTTGGGTATTTTTTTTTAGCTTTTCAAGAACTACGCTAGAACTACCAAGTTAATTGACGAAACCATTATATCAGAAATTTTTTACACAGCTCAACAAAGTTCTGGAAAAGTACAATCTCCAAAAACTGTGTAATAGATTTTATTTTTTCTCGATAGCCACTAAAATCAATTTTATTAAAAAGAACTCGAAATATTTGACTTGACTTTCTTCACATTTTTCTGGGGTTTTTACCCTTCTAGAACTTGAACTGTAAAAAACAACTTTTCTGAGATTATTGTCTCGTGAATTAAATCAGTAGTTCTTGCGTAATTCTTGATTAACTAAAAAAAGTCAGATTGAATTAATTTTGGGCTAAAAATTTGGTTCCGAAATTCGCAAAAAAATTGCGGTTCAAAAACAATACGCAGTACAAAAAACCGTTCGCAAAAACTGCATACTAATTTTGGTGAAATTCTAAGCAATTTTTGCTCACCCCTCAATTTTTGTCTAACTCTCACCCAATTTGAGAAAAACGAGTTTGAATTCTCAAATTTTGTTAGTTTTGTCCGGATAATTTAAATCAGCATCTTATTGGCGTAACTTTCAGCAGACGAAATTTAATTGAACTCAAAAAGTGCATACATACTTAAGTGCATTCATAAATACATGAAAACGTATGAATGCACATCTGTAGTATTAGAACATTGCAAGACTTGTTCCTAAGAAAAAATCATCAAGACCTGTATACGAGTCTTCAATATGTTCATTACTCTTAGTAAGTACTTCAGCTAAACTATTTTTGTATTTTATCTAACCATAGATAGACGACTTCCTTGGACTTGAGTACGAATGAGTCATTGCTGTTCAAGCTAGGCGCCACACAAGCAACCTCAACACATCGGGTGTTCAATTTGTCAGTTCCACGAATCTGAAACGAAATTACAAAACTAAAAACTCGATATAGACCTTTACTGTAACATTTCATGATCGCCAAAACAAAATTGTCTGCATGTATGTGGTACAAAACCTGGAAACTGAATTTTGATTTAATGATGAGGATCTTGAATATGAATCCCACTAAAGAAATTATTAAAAATTCAAACAGCTCAAATTAGTTACAAGTCCCAAACTTTTGCCCATTTAAATGTTTATGGAGTTCCCATTTGAAGCCAGTCAACCTTTGGGATAGTTTAGCAGTTAAGACGAAGCAAAATGAAATCTATTACGGAAAAAAAAAATAATGGGAAAAACTTAAGTTTTTTTTCCAAAAAGCGATTTCTTAGAACTATGAAATTGGAAAAAAATATCCGAATTTATTTTCACAGTGATAGGAACACGAAACTTTATTTTCTCAGAATGCAAATTCTTAGAACTTTGAAATTGGAAAAAAATCTCAGAATATATTTTCACAGTGACATCGTAAGCATACTTGGAAGAGGTGGTTTCTAGTCAAATTCATGGTCTTTTTGTTGTCTATGTTTCGGAATCCAGAACTCTTGCCGCCCAGATGGACGATGAGTCTGCCTCTGAAGATAGCAAGGAAGTGGTTGGGTTCCTTGCCCTGAACTACCCTCACTTGCATCGCCGTCCCACTCACAAGGTCGTCTAGTTCAATTGTCTTCAGAGCCACGGTTCCTATGCACAAAGCGAAAACTTGAGGGGGTTTGGATGACTATTCTCATGCGCAAAGTACCGACGGTTGCGCGAGAAATCTTAACCAATCAACTTGCTTTAGATTGTCCAAAACTGACTGATTTTTTTGCTATTTCGTTCAAATTTAAGAGTACTGAAGTCTGATTGGCTGACAAATTTTCGTGCATTCGGTCTTTCGCGCATAAAAAAATTCCCGCATAAATTGGATCTTGTTATCTACCCCCTATAAAAAGAGAAGGAATTCTTAACAAGATATAATAATCATACATGCTCAACCATTAATTTGTTATCTATTTATTGTTCCGACCATTGAAAATGGGGAGGAACTTTGTATTTGTTTTTTGTTTTAATTTTTTTTTGTTTTCCATTCAAAATCAGGTACCATGAATAGTCGTCGGAATGAATCGCGTGATATATCATATTAAAGCCGTTTCAGCGCATATAAACAGCTCGCATAGTAAGCTATGACTTACTTTCAAGAGCTCACCTTGAAAAATGCAGCGCACGTGCGATTTGAATCAGCAATCATATGATTGCTGAGCACCATCACTACCTGAGCGCCACAATGCCAATACTTTTCATTTTTGCACTTATAACATACCCTGTTCGTCTTGGCTGCTATCCGACCCAATCCAGTAGTACAGAATATAGCAGGGCTTATTCTTCACGTGGTAAGTATATTTCACTACATAACAGTCGCCAGCAAAGAACTGTCCGTGCAAATAGTCGTCTACCGGGACAATGTCGAAATTCTCCACAACCCACACTTCCGTTTTTCCAGTGCCGTCGTCCACCATGCGGGCCGAAGCGGCCACTTGTGGCTTGGCATGCAGACTGTTCACGTCGAACTGGGTCTGGGTGGTGATTTTTGCCACCCGGTTGATGTTGTGGGCTGTTCCAAGGCCAACCTAAAAAGTACCCCCGAGAGGAACTTTCACAACCCAATTGGAATCAAGATTTGGACAGTTTGTGAGATTTTCAATATCAGTTTAGCTATTTAAAGCAGGGTTGATAGGAAAAGGACTGTTATCCACAGTTGAAAAAATTAAGCTATAAAACGCAAAAATACAATTTTACTTGAAGATTATGACAAACGTCTTTTTTTAAACAAAAAAAAAACAGTTTTGCGAACAATTTTAATTGCGTTTTCTTTTCGATAGACGATAAACTTCTACTATAAGCTTAAAAATCATTCAAATGATTACAAGAAAACTAGCTATGGGCTGCAGCCTACCTGGGCGTGTTTGTTTTTCCAGTCGGAGAACAGCATCTTAAAAGCGGGTGGCTCTGCGCCGTCTATCACAGCTATGATCTGGGTGTGGGCAGGGTACTTTTTAGTCTTAATAAACGCACTAGCATTCTTCATTCCACTGGCCTTCTCATCACGATTCGCATTCTTGCCCTTCCAAACGAAGATTCCAGCAGGACCTAGAAATAAACCTCTTTATTTAAGAGAACAGTCCCTAAAAGGGTTCTGAACGGCTAGTTTCTCAAGATAGAGTGCAAATTTTAGTATCAAATATCGGGCCGATCCTTTTTAAAAGTTGGGTTTTCCGTTTAAACTGCTTAAATTGACGGCTTTATGATCAAATGAAATTTCATACTGCTCGCGAAAAATTTCTTCGCTCACGACTCGGGACCGGAAGAAAACGACATTTTTGTATTCATTATTTGGACAAATATCATTACTCTCGAGCACCAACGGATTTAGGGGGGGGGTTTGGGGGCGGACGCTTTCTTTTAGGGATTTGACCACCTGCCGAGCCAAAGGGTCCCCCCTTTGTACTATTTTAAGACATCCATATTTGGTATATTTGGTGACTGACCGTAGAATTTTACTAAAGCCGAAAAAACGCGATTTGTTGGTCAAAATTTTCCAAAAAGTGCCTAAAAACGTTTTTTTTCCCAAAAAATTCGCATGCGCCGCAGAAAATTTTCAATTTTTTTTTAAAATCCTTCCTCCCTCGAGAAAATCCTAGATCCGCCCGCCCCTGTTCTCGAGCAATTCACAAAATGGCATGTTGATTGTTAATCGTTATTTTATCAAGTTTAAAAAGCTCAAATTGTTTTCAACAACAACTCACTATCACATGATTTCGTTCTTGTTACAAGGTAAATCGCAGCAGCAGCACCAAAAGCTATTTCGAGTGTTACGGGATTTAAAACCAATGTTAGTACCAAAAAAATTTAAATAAATTTTCCTAAATTTTGCTAAAACAAGTACTTGAGTGTGACTTGAAGCTAACGCAGAAGATCTTATTGCCACTACAACTCATAACTAACAACTGAAGCCAAATCTTGATTATTTCGAGAAAAAACGCAAAAACGTAGACTTGGTGTTTGTGAAGATGCCCAAACTTTTAACTAGCTATACGGTTTTATAGTTTTTTTATTGTGTTGAAGGAAACTAATTTTAAATTGGGTTGAAATCTCCCAAGGTATTGAAGTTCCTTCAGCGGATGGAAAAGAGTAACATTACGAGGCCAAACTGTGCATTTTGTGTTTCGACAAAATTATAACATGCTTATAGACTTGTCTCTGGAATCCACGAATATACATGCACAAAATTGTGCGCCTATCCAGTGCAGTTTGGCATCGTAATGAAATCTACACGCGATCACTCGGCCCGTTTGGAATCCGAAGAAAAACCCAAAAAAAGTCCTAAAAACGAAAAATAAAACGAAAAGAATTCGAAAACTTTAGAAAATAGTTTTTAATCAATAGGTAATCGTTTGAGCTTGAATTTCATTCAACTAACGTTGACTAGCGAATACCTATTTGAATTTCACCTTTAAAAACTTTGACACCTTATTAATACGCATTTGAATAAAAGGAGTAATTAAAATTACTCCTTTTATTCAAATGCAAGCAAGTTATCAATAAGCCGTTGTCAAACAAAATACACTAATTTTGATGTAAAAGCGCTTGTTAAAAAACTGTTGACGACACTAGTTGAAACTGAAATATACGGCTGACGACAGAACGTTCATTCTACGACGTCTTAAGACGTCACTTTTGGACTAATTTCTTCTGCTTTTGAAATTGACTTTGACTCTATAAGGTATTGAAAAAAAAACAATAGCCGACAGACTATTGAAAAAAGTCAACGAACGTGAGGAAACAAAGAAAATGACTTGCTTTTTACAAAAACTTCAACTTTCGAATTTAAAGGAAAATTAATTTTTGCCTCAAAGTTTTTCAAATTTTTGAATTTCAAAAAAATTTCTGATTGACCCAATTTTAGTTTATAAACTCGTGTTGAAAATAAAAACTGGATCAATAGGCAGGGGCGGATTTAGGGAGGGCGGATTTAGAGGGGTATTCGACCCCCTGCCGACCCAAAGGGTCCCCCCTTTGATACTTTTTAAGAAATCCATTTTTGGCCGACCGACCCTAAAATTTTTCCAAAGGCGCCTTGGGCGCCAATATATACTAACTTTGAGGGGGAGTGCGCGCCAAAAAGTGCTCAAATAGGGGAAGAACAGTGCTTTGGGAGAGCTCGAAAAATCAATTTGGTCGACCTAAAAAAAAAGTTTTTGAAAATCCCCCCCCCCCCCCCCCCCCCACTCGAGAAAATCCTAGATCCGCCCCTGTCAATAGGCAATTTTTTTTCATTCCTCTGGGAAATTTGAAAACCACTTTCGAAACTAGCAGCAGGTCACGTGTTTTTTTTTAAAATCAAAAGTCAAACCGCAAGAAAATAAATCGAAAAGTGAACCAATTGATGAAAGACTTCTTCTGAAAAAAAACATACTAGATTCACATGACCTATATAAGAGTCTTCATTACGTTCATTGACTATTAAAAAAACCTAACAAGAAAGTGGACGTGTAAGTTGCAAGCAAAATCCTACTTAATTGAAGCCTTAAGTTGAAAGGTTATGGCGTCAAACTTGTTTTTAAAACGAAGTAAAAAAGTGTGCTCGCTTCCGTCTGGATTTCACAGACACATTTTTTCACGTCTTTTATATTTTTGTAGTTGGAATTAGAAGGCAGATTAGATTGTCTTCTATTCGGACAAAATTTTTTCCATTTTGAAATCCAGCGACAAACGCGTTTTGGTTGTGGAGCATCAAAAGTCGCTAGATTACTTAGTCAATTTAAATTTTTTTCGCTGGAAATCAGTTCTCAGTGGATTTCATAATTTGCCATTGCATTCTTCAAACCTTATTGAATTGGAAAA